CGTCTACAAACACGTCAGCCTTCTGTGGCTGCTGTTGGGACAGAAACTCATAAATCACACAAAGCAAGGTTGGCATGGGGCATGGGGCTCAGCAGTGAGCCTTGGCCCTTGTCTCTGACCACCCCCCCACTGACCCCAGAGAGATCCATCACAGCCCAGGGCTCTGTGCCTGGTGGTTCGTCCCATGCCCTCCAGTCAGGGGACCAGGACCCATCCTAGTCACCAAGCCAGTGACTCTCAGACTCCAGTGAACCTCAGAAGCCTCTGGGGATGGGTTTCTAATTTAGTAGGTCTGAGTGGGGCCCAAGAGTTTGCATGGCTAGTAGGTTCCCGGATGCTGCTGATGCTGCTGCTCTGTGGGCCTGCACAACGCTCACTTCTCTGGGACCAAGTTCAAATCTCGCTATTGTCCTTGGGCAAGTTTCTTCTGACCAAACGCCCGCTCCCTCATCCAGGAAGTAGGCGCACCAGGACCTCCCTCCCAGGGGACATAGGGGACCAGCACCTGTAGCAGTATCAAGTTTGGGGTATCCAGGAAACGCTCCATCCGTGGCAGCCCACAGCATCACCAGCGCCTCGCTGTTGAGGGCTTGGAGACAACTAACTAGCAAGGGTAGAGCCGTGAAGATCTCAAGCTTATCCGGAGGGGGGAAATGAACAAATATGGACTGGGGACTTTCTGTATGCATTGTCCTAATTCCTAAATGTAAAAATGCCTTGTCACTAAAACAGAACAAAACAAAGACACAGCCCAGGGAGAATCCGTGAGTTCATTCATTTGGCAAGCCAGCATTTACTGTGATTCTGAGAGCCAGGCTCGGAGCTGTGGCTACGGGGAGCAGACACGTGTCCTGTTATCCAAGAGCTACAGCGCGACCACAAAGAGAGGACAAATAAGGACCCGAGAGGGCAAGTCCTCATCACAGCAAATGGAGGACAGTGAGCACTGCGGCTGGACGGAACATCCAAGACATTGAAGAAACACGTTGGAGGGATGCCCTCAGACAAGGGGGAGACCTGGGAATGTTTCCTTGTGGGAGCAGCCATGTGACTGGAAAAACGGGTAGCATCGACCCATGGAGATGACAAGGTGGAAAGTGGAAGGAGCAGCAATCACAGGCAAGAGAAGGCAGAAAGCAGCTTCCAGAAATGTCACAGGTGAGTGTGGCTGGATCACAGGATGAAAGACACAGGGCGGGAGCTAAGGTTGGCCTGGCTCTCCGGTGTCTAGTAGTGGACAGCGTTGACTGTTGGGAGTTTGCAGGACTCTCTGAGCCCATCGTATATCCTCTGGGGCTGGCGCTCAGCACATCATCGTGGGCTCAGTGACATTCATGACGAAGATGCCACAGGGGTAAGAGACTGCACGATCCACGAGAGGCATCCCTGAGGACTTCAGACCTCTGCCCAGAGCCTGCTCACCTGCCGGCCATCCCCCATAATGCAAGAGGCCATCAGTCTCCACCTGACGGCTGCAGGATGTGAGCACGGGGCTAAGGTGGCACTGTATATCCAGGAGAAAGCCCCTTGGGGCCGCCCTGCTGCTCCACCTGCTGCCCCCACCTCTCACTGTGACCCGATCTAACCTTACCCTTCCCCGCTCTCCTACTGCCACAGAGAATGAGGCTCTGGGGAGCGGTCATCCCTGGGCAAGGGCCACCCTTGCCAACGTGAGTGGCAGTGTCTGAGACTGCTGTGGGGTCTAAGGACCACCCACACTTCAGCAAGCTGCCTCTGACTCAGCTGGGGACTTCAGCGGGGGGCTGGTGGGGAGAGGCCCCAGGGGAGGCCCAAGCCACCACATCTGGAGACGTTTCCCTCCTGGTCCTGTCCTGGACCCAGAACCCCAGACTCTCCTGCCAGCCTTGGTTTCTTGTTCAGATGAAGTGTCCTAGCTGGGGACATCCCTCCATCCCTGCTCTCCTCAGGGGCCCGTTCTGGCTCAGATATCCGGCTCCTACAGCCTTCTGCTGGTAAGGAGCATGGCGGTGGTCTCCCTTCCTCTTGGCTTCTCCTGCTCATAGTGAGGTCGAGTACTGGAGTAGTCAGTCCAGAGCCTGAGCTCATCTTTTTTTTCAAAGATTATCAGACAGAGATCACAAGTAGGCAGAGAAGCCCGCAGAGAGAGGAAGGGAAGCAGACTCCCTGCTGAGCAGAGAGCCTGATGCGGGGCTCAATTCCAGGACCCTAAGATCATGACCTGAGCCGAAGGCAGAGGCTTTAACCCACTGAGCCACCCAGGCACCCCAGAGCCAGGGCTCATCTTGACTGCCCCCTGCGTGGCTCCTCCTCCCTGAGCCTCCAGGTATCCCTCCTGCTATAGAGGGTCGAAGAGCCCAGCCCAGCGGCATCTGTATCACCGAGGCTGCAGGGCACGCAAGGAAATTCGGAGTCAGCAGGTGGGGGGGGCGGGGACCCCGGAGACAAACATGCCTACAAGCACCTCCTGTGATTGCCACAGCTTATCTGGGGGCCAAATCTTGAGAGACATTTATTTGAAAGACAAATTGTTGAGAGACAGGCTCGGTTTTCAGATGGCTTGAGTGCACCAGAGATAAGCTGAACGGAGGAGGAAGGAGAAAACAAGTCTTTCCAGAACACCACCTGGTTAGTCGTATTCATTCTCTCCAGGTAAGAACCTCCCAGTTCTCCAGGCTACCTATTTCCCCATCCTTTCCTCTGGCCTCACCAAAGAAGACTAAGCCCTGGAGGAATGGTCCTTAGCTCAAGAAGCAAAGGGTTTATCTGTTTGGGTGTACACGACTGCCACACCTTCCTTCTAGAATCCTCCTATGATTATAGGCTGGTCTATATCCCCATGATGCTGTGTGCACCGAGGTGATGAGCCCAGGCAATTCCACAAGACCTGCCAAGCCACCAGCCCGGCTAGCATGACTAGATCCCGCCACGCCACATCCAGCCTGCCCTCCGCCCAGCCCAAGCAGGCATTGCCCAGAAGGTCATATGCAGCTGTCCAGGGAGCACCAGGACTCCTGGCCCCCAGCCCCCAGCAAGAGGCCTCTCCTTGTTACCTCCATAGTTCTGCCTTCCCTGTGGCTTTTATCATGTGGTATCCCAGGAGCCTGTTTCTTTGTCCATGTCTCCTGCTAGAATGTTCTTAAGGGCAGAGATTATTTCTGGTTTGTTTATGTTTGTGTCACCACCCCTGGTAAAGTACACAGTACGTAGAAGGCGCTCCAAAAATGTTTATTAATAGCGGCACGAATCCATGTTTACTAGGCTTTTAGAGAGATGCTTTGCCCTTGTGGAATTAATCATTCCCCACAAAACCCCTCCAGGGCTAGGAGCAACCCCTTCCTCCAGGTGAGGAACCCAAGGCTGAGAGATGACGGGAGGGACTCAAGACCACATGGCCACAGGGCAGAGTGGGGACAGACTGGCTGATGAGGGCCTTGGGGTCCACACTCCATCTACACACTTCCTCATACTTCATGGGGCCAAGTCCCACGGCAGAGGCTGTCCTCAGATGGCTCTGGAGCCTTCACCGTCCTGGCAGCACACACAGCCCAGCTGTGGGCCCAGGAGAGGGCCCCCACCTGCCTTACCTGAGCTCTTTGCCCAGCAGTGAAGACCTTTTCAGCTGAGAAGCTGCCTGGACCCCTCCCTCCCCCTGGGGGAAACAGACCCAACCACAGCAGGGACACACCAAGGACTGTGGGAGCACTGTCGGGAATGAAGCTGTGGGTGTCACGAACTGTAGCTTCTCCTTTCCAGGTTTCCTCTCCTGTTCTCTTGGTGGGAGAGGACCACATCCTGCTCGGTGATGGAAGATTTGTCCACAGGCCTGGGGTGCCGGACCCCTTGGAAGACAGGTGTTGCCCATGTTATCTCTCCCAATTGCAGATGGAAGCCCTCTCCTGAGGGGCGCGGGGTAAGCCTCTGGGAAAAACTGAAGGCAAGTCACAGAGGCCCAAGGACAGAGGCACCCCTCCCTCCTGGATAAAAGGGAGGCTGGCCTCATGCCCGTGTCCCTCCTGCCCTCCCCACCTGTCGGAGTGGAAGAGAAAAATGGGACTTCAGAGAAGTAGGTTTGGAGGAGGCAAGAGAGCAGGACTCAGGAGAAGCAGCACCAGAGCCCCTGGAGGCTGGGAAGGAAAACAGAAGGAATGTGGGGAGCTGGCCCAGCTTGGCCAGGACAGAGGCCTGAGAAGGTAGGCAATGGGATGTGTTCCTTGAGAGGATGGACAGATAGAGACTACAGCCAGAGTCTTCAGTGAATTGTTACCTATGCCCAGTCAGCCCAAGCTGGGCTCTGCAGCCATACTATGAGCTTGGAACGGTCACCAGCCCGGAGCATGGTGGTCAGAATTTCTGGGAACCCCAAAAGAGCGGTCCTGCGCTGAAGTGGGGGCGGGGGGCAGGAACGGCTGCGCGCAGGGAAGGGCAGGGAGCCTGCCCGTCACAGTGCACATGTGCGGCAAGGCAGCGTTTAAGGCTCAGCTTCTGCTCACAGGAGCGCTGGGGGGCTTTCCGCTGGTTTCCATGGAAACCTTAGGCAGAGCATCTGCTACCCAGTCAACAAGGCTGGGCTGATAGGACTCTTTCTGGAATTATTTTGCTGATTCTACCCAGGAAGATTCCTACCTGCATTTCCCCACTGCCTTCTTGCGTGGTAGAGGCGGGGGAGGGCAGTTCTGTGAGGTTGGGGCTGTCACCCAGGGAAGGAGCGAGGGTTGGCAAAAAGCAGGCGTTCAGGGAAAGCCCGTGGCTTCCAATTCAAAGCCCAAGTAGGGTCCCGAGATGAGGCCATGGAGCCGGAGCGGGCCTCTGGTCCCAGGCTGCCACAGCAGCAGGGACACCTGCTGGTCCCCTTCCCGGAGCTGCATCCAGGACGCCCTGAGGTGCAGAGGAACAGGCTGTCAGGTATGGGAGGGGGTGAGACCTGAGCAACTTCAGTTTCAGTTTCACACCATCAAGGCCCCAACTTGCCCATGAGGCGGGGGAGGGTGGCTTCGGAGTAAGAGAGAGAAAGGCGCTGATGCACGTGTACGTGTGAGAAGTGGTTTTATTCCAGGTGTGTGTTTTATAAAGATGAGGCCCTCAGGGACAGCGAGTGGCACATGCTTTGGTCAAGAAGAGGAAAAGCAAGAACAGAACGGGGCTGAGTCCCACAAAGGATGGCTGACAGGTGCACTCTGACCACCGGGAAGGAGGGGGCTCTCAGGGGCTTCTCCCAGCAGCAGCCCCCTTACATTCAAAGAAGGAAGCTGTGCCCCCTCCCCATCCCCAAGGGTCCATGCTGCCTGTGGGGGGGATGCGCACAACAGAGATGGGGGTGGAGGAAACACAGGGACAGAGGACGGGAGATGGTGGCCCCGTGCTGGGGCCCAGGAGCACTGCTTGAGGGGGCCTGGTGAGAGCCGGGGGGGTGAGAGGAAGCCACTGAGACCCCCATGGTGGGGCTGCTGGCCTGAGGGCCGCGTTGGGGAGCAGGAACTAGCAGTCTAGGAATGCCAGGGAGGGAGAAGGGCAGCTCAACTGGGGTGGGGTCGGGGGGGGGGCGGTGGTGTCACTTCAGTCCAGAGCAGAGGCTCAGTCCCTTTGGGGATCATGGACCTCGGCAAGAAGCTGGGACGATCCGTGGACCCTCTCCCCAGGAAATGCACATATGCATACACACGCACGATTTGGGGGACAATTTCAGAGGAGAGTCCCAGGCCCTCTGGAATCCATGAACTGCCTAGAAGCCCCAGGCTGATTTGCTTTGGGAGGGGGATACCCAGGGGTCCGCATACTCCTGGTCTTTTGCCAAAGCTCACACTGCCTGAGCCTCAGGGTTGGGGAAGAGGAAATGGGAAATAGCAGGGACGTTTCCAAGACCAGGCCGTGGGCCCAGTGGCGGTGAGAAGGAACTAGGGGCTCTGCACACAGACAGGAGCCACCTGCCAGCCTCCCCCCTCACTGTGGGAACCCACCCTTTCTCAGGCCTCCGTCCTGCAGTGGGGAGGGGTATGGATGAGTCTTAGCCTCCACGACTTACTGCCCAAGTCTTGGGGAATGTTTAGCTCCAGAAGGGAGGTCCTGTTCTTACCAGCCACTTCAACATCCCAACGCTGTATTTACAGAGGTAAAGGCTTTCGAGAAGGCAGGAGTCAAAAGGCCTGAACAAGGATGGGGCTGTTCCTGTGGTGTGCGGTGGCTGCCTGCCCTCACCGGGTCATCACCATGGGCCCAGGCGGAGGGGACACGACCCCAGCTGGTCTTAAGGCCCAAGAAAGAGGTCTTGGCCTGACGCACGGCCAAACAGAAGTGGGATCTGTTTCATAAACCGGGTCCCAAGGCTGCCCATGAGGGCTCTTGCAGCTTCTGGTAGGAACGTGGAGACCAGAGCACAGGGAGGGCACAATGCCCAGGGACTGACACAGCCTGGGAGGAACTATAGGTTGTTGGGAAGAAACTAACTCTTCTGGTGCTTTGCTGCTTTTCCATCCATGTCCTTCTGCAAATTATCCATCCTTTGCTCCAGATCCCATCCCTCCCACACTCAACCCAGCACCTGCCTGGGACAGGCCACCAAACTTCTCACCAGCTTCCTGTTCTCCACTTGCCTTCAGGCTGCCCCTCGTCCAGCCCTCAGCCTCCCCATCCATGTTGTCCACAGTCTCCTCTCATGACGATCCCACAGGTAGGCCCTGTGACCCAGGAGGGGCCCTGTGCGGGCTTCTGTCCTTGCTCTCCCCAGCCAATGGGGGACGGCCCCCCAAACACTGTCCAGGACCCCAGGAGGGTAAAGGGAAGGGGACAAAGGGCCGGGGGGTGAGGGGGGTCTGCCCAGTCTCTGTCCAGCAGCAGTCCAGCATCCTGACCTTCTCTTCTGGGGCAAGGCCAGGCTGGCAGCCAGCGCATCGGGGCCTGCTTCCCCACGCCCGCCCCAAACAAGCTTTGGAGAGACGTGTGTCGTGGCAGGGGTGTTTGCTGATGAGTCCGGCAGAAATGTGAGGAGATGGGAACGGCTTTACACTCCCCCACCCTAACCCGCTTCCGGTCCCGAAGTCTCATGCAAAAGGTCCAGGAGGCCCGGGGCTACCGTCATGTGTGCGGCAGCAGCTGCCACTGCTGGGCCGGGGCGTCGGCCTGGCACTTGCTGGTCACCAGCTGGGCGGGCTTGGCCTCCAGGCAGAGGCCGCTGACCGAGTGCTGGATGAAAGAGGCTTTTCTCCTCCATCTCTGGGGGGAAGAACGGGGGAGAAAAACACAAAGATTAACAATAATGTCCAGAACTTCATTTTGCATGGATGTAAGGGGCCTATCCCCAGGACAACGCCCCACCGTGTCCCTGACACAAGAGCTCCCCGACCCCCAAGCAGCCTTAAACCCCTTCCCTTCTGATGCACGCTTGTTTCCATAGCTCAGCAGAAGTCTACATCGAAGTCCGTGGGCCGAATGAATCTGTATTTCTTTGGGCCTGCACAGTGTCTATTTGAAATTGGGCTTCATTGTCCCATGAAAATCTGCATTTCTAGCTTCCTTTTAGACAGGGGCCCAGTTTCTTGTGTGGCCTAGGGCAGCTCGGGGCGGAGCTGCTGCTCCCTCCAAGAGGTGGGGCTCTTGCTCTCCGTTTCCCCAGGCCCTGCCCAGGACGGCTAGCCCCACCCCTGCAGCACACCCCACTCCTCCCTGCGGGCACGGGAGTCTACGGCTTCTTCCCACAAGACTTCCTCTCCCTGCAGCTCAGAGCTTCTGGCCCGGCCTGTAACCGTGCAACAGGTGGCCAAGAGCCGGAAGGGTGGGGGGCAGCCACCTTGTCTGCAGTGATGAGGAGTAGGGTCTGCGGGATGGTGGGAGGCCTGGGGTCCTCGTTACGGTATTCTCCTGGGCCTCCCCTTCTCCAGACCTGATGAAGGGGAAAGAGGTGTTCCTGTGGAACATCTGGGGGTGCCTGGGTGGAGGACAGAGTGTCCTTTGGAAGACTCAGGGGAGGAGATGAGAGGCTGGCCCAGGCTTCAAGGCTCAGGGAAGTATAAATAGTGAGAGAGATCTGTCTGTCCATCTCTCCTCTCCCTGTATCCCGCCTGTTCAGCATAGGAAGTGAGGAGCCCCCATCCCCCCCACGCCCGGCTCCCCCGCTCTGTGGGGGTAGGGCCAGGCCTAGGGCTGCAGGGGTTGGGGTGGGCAGAGAAGGGAACTGACTTGGGAGGGAAGGTGGGGGGTGTGGACTCCCCTTGGGAATGTGGGCCTGTGGGGTGCCCACGCAGCCCTAGGGGAGAGGGGTCCCTGGCCTAAAAGTTGGGCAGTGCGTAGGACAGGGCCTTGGTCCCTCTGGAACTCACAGCATCCTATTGCTTTGTGCTCTTCCAGTCCCCGACCTCCCGGGAGGGGCTGGCCATGCTCCCCGCTCTCCTGGGCTTCGCTGGACCCTGTCCTCCTTTCTGCCCATGGCCAACAGGAGCCGTCCATTCCCAAGCACGGGCAGGGACCCAGCGCAGTGTTATTTATAAAGTGGGAATGTGAGGATGAGTGAAGGGATCACTAGATCCCCGGGGGCACCCCCCAAACCACGGGAATCTCACTTTCTACCCATGCCACCGAGCACTCTCCTGGCCACTCAGTCCTGGGCCTGGTCAGAGAAACAGCGCCCCTCACGGCCCTCTCCTATCTCCTCAGCCTCTGTTCCTACAGGCACCTTGTAAGGCGGGCAGGGAGGAGACCGAGGCTCAGAGAGGTGGGGGTGCTGGGGCCTGCCGACTCCATCCTATTGGCTCCAGGACACAGAGCCACTCGGACCCATGATGCCCAGCGGCCGTGGAAGCTGGAGGTGGACCAAGAAGGGAGGCCTAGCTTTGGAAGGCCCCCGCATGGGAGACCCGCTCATCCTATCCTCTGGGAGGAGAGGGCCCGGGGGGCCCAGATGCAGCTGGGGGCCTGGCAGGCCTTGCAGGAGCAGAGTAGATGGAGCTCCAGAGAATTATGGAAGTGGGGGCCTTCCCAGGAGCTACTTCCTCGCTTGTCCTCAGCAAGGAGGGGTGCAAGTGGGCTCAAAGCCTGACCCTGGGAGAGGTCTGCTGCCCTCAGTGAAGAAGAACCTGAGGACATCCCTCACTGCAGGGCAGGGGCGGAGGGCAGGCAGCCCGAGGGAGCAGGACAAACGTCATCTGCCAGTCAGAAACATGTCAGAAGGGTCCAACAGGCCCAGCCAGCAGATCGATCTCTCTCTCTCTCTCTCTCTCTCTCTCTCTCACACACACACACACACACACACTCAGAGGCTGGAGGGAGGGGATCTGGCTGCTTTTCCAGAACGGCATAGCAAGTTACCAGTCATCCCTAAAGAAAGAGCTGACCCAGGCAAACAGGAAAAGGGTGAGAGGAAACCCTGCAGCCAGACACTCTCTTCAGCCCTCCACTGTCCCGCCGGCTGGCCAGGGTCAAGCACGGAGGAGGCTCCCGGGCGGTGTGGGCAGTGGAAGGGCTGGAGCAGACCTCTGGCCTTTATGTCCCATACCTTGGGCAGAGGGATTCCCCCCCGCCCCCCAGCCAGGAAGGGGGCTGACTCTGCCACTGGCCACTGCATATCTTGAGCAAGTGATATCCTCTCTCGGAATACCAGTTTCTCCCCAGACGGGTGGGCTTGGCCTGACTTCCAGGATTCATGGAGACAGGGTGACTGAGGGTTTGACAAATGGAAAAGGCAGTGCTCATGTGAGGTTGTCGTGCCAGCTTGGAAATCGGGGTATCTTGGTTTCACCTTCCTGGCAGCCACAAGCGAAATACTTACTGAGCATCTACTAAGTTCTGGGTTAAGACCGTGGGCTGAGGGGTCACACTGACCTTGAATCTCAGCTCCATCCCTTCCCAGCTGGGTTTCCTCTGACACCTGTTTCTTAAATTCAGCAAGCCTGACTCACCAGTAAGACGAGGATGGCGCAAGGGCCCAAACCCCCGGGGTGGCACAAGGGTAAGGTGAGACCATCTGTGTAAAACTCCTATCACCAGCTCTTGGTCAAAGCCAGCTTGAGCTGGGCTGCGGTGGTTGTCAGGGGCTAGGGACCCAAGCCAGATGGCCCCTGCCCTTGTGGAGCTCACAGGCTGGCAGGATGGACACTTAACAGTATTTACTCGAAGAAGTGTTTCCTCATGAGTACAACGGATTGGACCTGGCCGCTGACTTGGACTGACCCTCCCTCTGGAAGGGCTCGAGTCCATCTGTTTCAGCCCAGGGCTCCCCTGCCAGGAGCTGCCACCCAGCCTGCACACCTCAGTGGGTAAGGAGACTCACCTGCCTGCCCTCTCTCGGGTTGCATCCCTGCAGCAGGACCAGGGAGCCTGGGGTGACGGAGGTGGAGGCGGCAGTCAGGCACTTCCCCTGCTGCTGGATGAGATGGTCACTGAACAGCCATGCCTAGAAGACCGGGACCGGAAGGGCCAAGTCCAAGGATGCGGTGAGGGAAGGGGAGCGGGTAAACGATAAGACAAATACTCTGTTGGGACAATTTTCTCTAAATAATATGAGTGAATATATGGGTGTTCACTGTACTGTTCTTTCAACTTTGCTGTATGTTTTAAAGTTTCCATAATAAAAGGATTGGCTGGAGCTGGCCGGAGGGCAATCCGGAATGTACCAAGGGCTGCTATGGGGGGTAGGGGGGACAGGGAGAGACAGGACCAGGGCAGCTAGGGGATTCCACGACCCTCCTGTGTCGCACACACACGTACACACAGGAGTCTTGGATGTCTGGCCACGCTTCATGCTGACCATAGCCACATCCCCGGAGAGAACCCAGGTGCCCTCTGAGTAGCATTTCTCCCTCCAAGAACATGGGTGGTATCCAGAGGGCAACTGTGCAACAGATGGGAAAAGGGAAATGTGGCAGAAGCAGACCCAAGGAGCAGTGTGGGGGGGACAGTATGCGTGGTCCCTGGGAATGTGGGCTTGTGGAGGGTGTAAGCAGAGATAAAATGAGAATAAGCCAAGGGAAGCCCCCTCCCCTGCCACCCCAACTCCTGGACAATGACCCAGGCTCCCTTCCCCCCTCCTGGTTCTAACCTCAAGGCCCTCAGCAGCTTACCTGGGGTGCTGGGGGGTTCTTGGCAGACCCTCTGCAGATCCCCATTCCAAGCAGGAAGTTTCCAGCCGAGTCCTGGCCCTGGGATTCCAAGCAATTAACTCCTTGCTTAATGATGCCAGGGAGTACTTCCTTCACGGGGACTCTGAGAGAAAAGGGAGCAATCAGGCTTGTCTTCTGCCCTCTCTAGGCTTACTCACCCCTCAGCCAGGGGGTGAGTAAGGGCAGAGCTTGGTCAGCTCCCCAGGGAACCATGCTCTTGGTCTCAGTCTCGGGGAAGGGGCCCTGGGGAGCAGGCCTAGCCAGCAGGGGCAGGAGGGCAGGGGACGGGAGAAGGAACAGGGATGCCTCTGGGAAGACTGAGTCTCGCCCCACGGGGTCTGAGCTGCTGTGGGAGCCCCAGAGGCAGCCCTGGAGGCCGAGCCTGAGAGAACCCTGGGGAAAGAGCTCAGACCAGAAACCCAGGGCTCCCCAGACCAGAAAGAAGAAAACCTGGGCGAGAGACTGAGGCCTAAATATGGACTGAATATGACATCTTAAAATGAGAGGAAAGAGGTCACTTCAGAGCGGCAAACTGAAAACCCACAAATGGGAAAATGCGTTCAATCTCACTAATGATTAAGGAAATACATATCTGAGAGTTCCCACTGTCTGTTTACCATAACTATGTGCATGAAATATAATATATAATAACATGCGTTATTTCTAGATATTTATTTATATAAAATATCTCATATGTATTCTAGTGTAACAACACCAATCGATGATCTCAGTTCCCAGTGTTGGCAATAGTTGTGGGATCAAACCTTCTCCTTCCCTGCAGTTCTGGAGGGCAGTGTGGCATTGTGTATCCAAAGCCTCAAAAATGGGCACACATAGATAAAAAGGGTTACATGGGGCCAACGCCCAGTTATAAAATAAGTCACAGAGATGAAAAGTCCAGCCTAGGGGATATGGTCAAATTTACCCTAATAACGACCCATGGTGACAGGTGGTGACTACGCTTATCGTGGGAGCACAGCATAATGCAGAGATTGCTGACTCACCACGTTCGCACCAGAAATGAATACAACACGGTATGTCAGCTGTAGTTCAATAATAAAAAACACACAAAAATAATGGACATACCTTTGACCTAACAATCCTAATCCTACTTCTGGAACTTTGTTATCCTGAGGCAATAATATTGGGGCTGTTGGCAGGGTGATTGGTTATACTGAAAACATAGATATCTAATGATAGGGGACAGGCTAATTAAATACCCGATTCATCTGTAAGATGGAAAGCCCCGGAGTCATTGAAAATGACTCCAAATGAATATCTGATATCACAGAAAGATGTTTAGAACATACTGTTAAATAAAACAGGTGTGTTTCAAAATATTTTAAATATTATTTTAAAATGCACAGGAAAATATGCTTAAACACACATCCCTCTCTCTCTCTCTCTCTCTCTCTCACACACACACACACACACACACACACACAACACACCCCTACATGACACATTGTCTTACTCTGTGGTTAATAAACCCAAGGAGGCTGCTGGGCCCAGCTGATGCAGGCTTGTATTCCTGGGTTTAGAAGGTCACACACACTCTTGGGTTATGGCCCCAGCGAGTGATGGGGCTTAGAGTGTGGCCATGCACCTAATCTTAACCCCCTCTTGTTACCTCTATCCAAAGAGAACCTAAGTGGGCTGGGGAGGGGGGTATCATAACACTTTTGGCATTCTTTGATCTCAACCAAGCCAGCTCCTCCTTCCTCAGGGCTGGTTGGAACACCCCAGAAACCCCAAACCACAACCCACCCTCACAGAGCCTCAGGAAGACACCTTCACTTTCTCTCGTACCCTCCTGCCAGGTCCCTCTTGAGAATTTGCATAATTCTAGACCACAGGTTGAAAACTGCTGGCTCCCAAGCTAAATATGGTCCCGAACACGTTTTCATGTTTTTTCTCAGTCGTCTTTATTGGTTTTTTATTGTCTCACAGAGCATCAGGGTCAATCCCTCCTGGGAATATGGCGTTTAAAGAGATAAGAGGGAAGTCTAATAAAAGTAGTAATATAAAAAAGATAATATAAAATATAAAAGATTAAAATATAATATATATTATAAAATATAAAAAAGATAATAATGAATATGACCCATAATAAAATGCCCCCTATGACCCCCTAATATAAAGGTGCTTGAAGCTTTGAATAAAAGGACCACCCCTCCTTTCTGGGAGGGGTCAGAAATGCCTGGGGACCCTCCAGCGCCCCCCATCAGGTGCCATCTCCCACCAAGCAGCCTTTATAAATACCCTCCCCATCCTGTCCCGGTCTAGCAATGACCCCAGCCCCCCAGGGACAGATTAGATGCAATGTCAGTTGGTTCACAAGGCCCCTCTCTGTTCCCAAGTCCGCCAAGCTCCTCCCCAGCGAGAAAGGCTCCTATCAGTAGTGTTCTGCCCCCCACCCCCCGGCCCAGCCCCCTCGACTCTCTGCAACTCTTCACTGCCCCCCTTTACCCTGTCCTTCTCCTCTGGATGCCTTCCCCTCCTGCCAACCATTAACACTGCACCTTCCACTTCCTCTCCTTCCCCTTCCCTCTTCTACTTCCTTCACCTATGTCCTCTTTCACCTATATCCTCCCTGCTCCTTGTCTATCCTCCTTTCCTTTGAAAAAAAAAAAAAATATATATATATATATAAGTAATTACTTTTAAGTAATCTCTACACCAACATGGGCTTGAACTCACAACCCCGAGATCAAGAGTCGCAAGCTCTACTGACTTGAGCCAGGCGCCTCATCCTCCTTTCCTTTGGATCAGAATCTGTCTTTCCTACCTTGACCCTGAGCAGAGACTTGGACCCACCTAGAGGCTGGACAGTCCACAGTCAAGACCCCAGATTGCCCCCAGGGACCCAGTCCTTCTCCACCCCCCACCCCGACTCTTGCTTGCAGGTTTCCTAAGGCTTGGCCCTGGAAAGGAGAGCTCTGGCATAATCCCCCTGGACTCTGGGCAGATGGGCCTCAGGGCAGCTCTATTCCCAGTAGCCAGCACAGTTAGGGGCTGGGAGCAGAAGAGAAAGACAGGATAAGGGCTAGGAGTCAGGACCCTCAGGTCCCGGGTACCCAGACCAGCCTCTGAGTCACTCTCCAACCCAGACCCTCCGAGTCCAAATTTCCACACAACCCCAGGCCAGCCGGAGCATGGCATTCCTCAAGCTCTTTGCCCCCTCCTGTCTCTCGGTCCTGGGATCCAGGTGGGCGCATGCCAGCAGGTGTCAAGGGAGGCCTCTGATTCAGGGACTGGGGAGAAGCTCTGGCCTCAAACACATTTTGTCTGTCCTACATAGCGTGGTTGTTGTGGCTTTTAGCTAATTGGCAGTATTAAAAATCTGAAGGTTACACAAAGAAATCTGAATCCAGCTTCTCTTGAGAAAAAGGAAGATGAGGCCACACAGAACCCTGGATTCCCACGAGGCACTCAAGGCACTAACACAAGGTCGTGCTGTCCCCTGGGGGACAGGCTTTTGCATGCCAGTTGGCCACGGTCCCCACAACTCCCTAGCCTCTCACTGCTGCCCACCTGATTGGTTTGCAGCACCCAACCGATCATTGCAGGATTTGAACTCGTAACCTCCCCTGAGGGCGAGGGTGTTAGGATGCAAAGACTCCCCCTACTCTGCTTCATCCAGGGGCAACCTGTTCTATTACCCCTCCCTGCGGAGAAGAGATGCCTGCTGAGGCCCCTCGGACCCGCTCAGGAATGCAGCCCAGGCTGCTCCAGATCCTTCTGCGCGCTTCCTCTCCCTGGCCCTGTCCTCAGGGAGATGTGCAGGGTGGTCGGCTTCCAGAGCTGAGGTGGGCACTGTCTACATGTGGCAACAGCCAGTGGCAGGAAGGCTTGGCTACTGATACTTGGGGGCCGGAGGGGAGGATACATGAGGCTTGGGCAACAATCTCCAAACCCGCAGTGGCTCGTGAGGTGTCCCTGTGGTCCCAGCCCTGGAGCTGCTGTCACGGTCGTCTCTACCACCCTCCCTCGGCTTCCTGGCCAAGCCCGACTACATCTGCATCTGCTTCCCTCTTTGTGGGCCTCCTCCTAGCGGGGCAGCCATCAGCCCTTAGAATACCTTTGTAGAAAGAGCAAAAGTGTCCCTTCCTCGAGACTTTTTACTTCCATCTATTAGAAAACTATCATAATCTACTGGTCTTGTTAGAAGACTTTTATTGCCATCTGCCAGGGAGTGTTAGAATAAATGTACGATATCCACGATGCGCTTAGTGCCCTGGCGCATGTGGTGTGCACAGCTTGCCCTACTATTCCTGACAGTCCGAACAAAAGGACTACGTTGCTGTTGTTGAGGCCAGCAGAACTCCGGTCTGCAGGGGGCAGAGCTGTGCAGGGACTGAGGCAGGCCTAGCAAAACAGAGGCCTCTCCCTTCGCCACCTCATTTTCCCCACTGACCGTCTGCAAGTGGGGCCAACCATTAGGCTCCCCTGTTTGGAGGAGAGCTTGTATCACTTGGCGTACAGAAGTCCTTCCTCACCAACGACTGAGCCGCTGCTGGCCCCTCACCCTGGGCAGAACTTGGAGAGTGGACCGGGAATGGTAACCTGGACAGGAATGAGGTGCATGGCTTCTACATTACCGACACAGGATCGTTTTATAAAACCTCCCCACACTGACAGAAGAAACAGAAGAAGACTCATACTCCTCACTTCACGTAGCTGGTTTCATCTACTGTCCTATCGTCATGGATCCAGGTTTCTGGTAGTTATAAAACACTTTTTCCTCTCAGTCCTCAGGGGATGACATGAGACCCTGTCCATGGGGATTGGGTGTGGAGAGGAAAGGCATGTTCCCGGTCCTCCCCGTGTCTCCCATGGGCCTCCCAGCTCCTGCCCAAGGTCTAGAGCCCGGGGCTCCATCCCAGTGTTGTCTGAACTCTGACAGGATGTAAAGAAACGATTGTTTTTTGCCTCAGAAATGACATGTCTGAATGAAACTACCTCCCTTAAAAGTGGCCACTGGAGAAAGTGGTCCATTTATTATATTTTTGTAAATATATAATAATGTATAATGTTCTTTCCCTTCACAGCCTTCATCTGGGGGCTGGCTCATCCAGGCCGCCAGCTCTTCTCAAAGATGCCGCTCTCGGGCACCTGGGTGGCTCAGGCTTTAAGCGTCTGCATTCAGCTTGGGTTGTGATGCTGGAGTCCCAGGATCCAGTCCCGCATCGGGCTCCCTCTGACCCTCACCCCACTTGTGCGCACACACACACACACACACTCTCTCTCTAACAAAATAAAATCTTAAAAAAAATAAATAAAAGATGTTGCTCTTGCTTGAACTGTTTTGAAATCCTTGAAACTGGCTCCCAGTGTCAGTTTATTCTTGACTTGTTTCAGTCCTTGTCATGCTCTATCAGGGAGCCAGGATCACCTTATGGGGGGTAATCGCCTTCTTCACTGGACTTGGCGACAACCTAACTATGGCTCTTTTCCAAAAAACAAAGCTGCCTTTAAAGAACAGGGAGTCGTCTTTTTCAAGGACCTGCAGGCTCTGAGGGGTGGAGTGTTCTGGAAAACTGCTGCGACTGACATTGATGGAATTACCTGTTCCCTACGGTGACAGCTCTAGAAAGGAGAACGCTAATTCCCGAGTTATTACTATTAAGGCTTATTGACTATGCAATTTGTTCGGTTAAAGATACATATCGAGTGCCCGTTTTGTGACAGGCCCTGTCGTAGGGGCTGGACACCAACAGCAAACAAAGCAGATCACACCCCTACCCGCACAGAGCTTACTGTCACGTTGCGGGGGGGGGGGGCAAGGAAATGAGTTGGCCACATAGGCGCTGGAGGGTGGTGAGCATGGACTAAACAGGGGATGCTGGGGAAGGGGGTGCTCTGCAAACACAGACTGTTCAGAGAGCTCCCCCTCCCCCAAAAGAGGACATTTGAGTCAAGACCCGAAGGAAATGAGGCCATGAGCCAGGTGGTTGAGAAGGCTTTTGAAATGAGAAAAAAGGAAGCCTCATGGCCATACAGCAGCCTTCACTTCACCCCTAGCCAGGGAGCTTGCACACACGCTCAGAAGCAGCCGTGGGTCCGGTGCCCCCCATCTGTGTCTACTTCCAGTTTGTCAGAGCAAACATTTCCCTGGGGCTTTGCAGTCTCTCTGATTGAGATCTTAATGGACACCTACTGTTTGCTCAGATCCATGCATTGGGACTCACTAAACCCACCCCTTATCATTAGTTATCTCTAGATTTTTCATAGCAGCCAAGAAGCCTATGCTGAATGAACAGCTCTTGTCAATAGTTTTTTTGCTTCGGTTGCTTTACTTCCTGAGGATAAACTCCCAGAAGGGAGAGAACAGAGTCAAAAGGGATGTCTTTATTTCTGCAGCTTTCGCTACGTAATGCAGCATTGTTTCCCTGTGGGGACAAGGCCCATTTCCGGCTCTGTGGCCCAGTCTATTAAAAATTGCTTCCGGGGGGGCGCCTGGGTGGCTCAGTGGGTTAAAGCCTCTGCCTTCGGCTCAGGTCATGATCCCAGGGTTCTGGGATCGAGCCCCACATCGGGCTCTCTGCTCAGCGGGGAGCCTGCTTCCCTCTCTCTCTCTCTCTCTGCCTGCCTCTCTGCCTACTTGTGATCTCTCTCTCTCTGTCAAATAAATAAATAAAATCTTAAAAAAAAAAAAATTGCTTCCGGGGCACCAGGGTGGCTCAGTTGGTTAGGCCTCTGCCTTCGGCTAAGGTCATGATCTCAGGGTCCTGGGATCAAGCCCTGCATTGGGCTCTCTGCTCAGCAGGGAGCCTGCTTCCCCTCTCTCTCTGCCTGCCTCTCTGCCTACTTGTGATCTCTTGTCTGTCAAATAAATAAATAAAATCTTTAAAAAAAAAAATTGCTTCCTGTCCCGTCTTACTTGTAACTCTTTCCCCTTCCCCCACCAGAGCCTTCACATGCAGATGAAACACCGATAGCTGGAAAGAGCCGGACTGCCCAAGATGGGGCAATCTCAGGGTGGGGGTCCCCCAAACCGCTGGCCCCCCAGCCAGGCCAGATGCGCAAGCTGAGGGCCATACTCACGTGAGCTCTGGGTAGACATTATCCAAGTACCAGCGGAACGACTTGCAGTTCATCTTCTTCCTCTGCTCAATCCGTGTGGCTACGCTGAAAGAGAAGGGAAGCCTCAGGCTCTGGCAGGCAGGCGCAGGGAGGAAGCCCCAGGAGGCTGGCCCCCTCCTTCTGCCTACCCCAGGCGGGGCAGGGCCAGGAGCTGTCCCAGCCTGCCCTCCAGCCGTGGCCAATTGCCAAAAATCCTTGTCTGACCTGCAAGGTCCCCCCAGGTCTCCTCGCCATTCCTCATTTCTTTCCCCAAATTCCTGTGCACTTTCAAGGATCAGAGCAGCCCCCCAGGGGCCCTGCTTGACTCTGACTTCTCACACCTTGAGACCTCAGTGCACCCCTAGCTGGTCCTCAAACAAAGCCTTAAGGAATTCCAAGTTTTCCCTTCCTGCATTCCAATTTCAGCAGAAAGGGTCCAACAAGAAAAGCACGCTTTAAAGGTCTTTCAGGAATTTTGGCAAATGAGATCCCTCTGAGGTGCCCCTGGATGCCACAGTTTCCTCTCCCCAGTGTCCTCAGCTATCCTGTTGGGAATGGCCACTAACAGATGACCCTCACCGCCTCTCTGAGCCTCAGTTTCTCCATTGGTAAACATGACCACCTCTCCCAGAAGGTTTTCAGAGAATCAAATGAATTAAGACAGGATAAGAGCCTAGCACAGGGTAGATCTTCAGTAAAGGTTAGTTCACCACGGAAAGAAATAGTGATGTAATTTTTTAAAGGGATATAGCTAAGAATAAACAGAGTGCAGAAGATTCGGAGACAATCACTAATATTCTGATCACAACCTTTAGAAATAAATGTATCTCACACTGTGATCGAGTATTCCCATATGCGTATATAGCTACACACACACACACACATCTAACTGAAAGACATTTCACCAAACAATACTTAGCCTTAACTGCAATCAACTGTTCTTTTCTATTCTGCTCTGGTCCAATCTATCGTGTTCTCTACGATTTTTTTCTTAATGTCGGTCACGACCCATGAAATTGATTTCATAACCAATCTACATTTTGAAAATGCTTAACTAGACTGTCGTCATATGAGCCCAGGACAGGAAAACAGGCTAACAAGATCACGATAGGCGTGTTCTGAACGGCGGCCAGACCCCAAGTGTTTTCTGCAGACGGCCCGGCCCTGACTACTCCCACAGATGTCCTTTCTCCTGAGGGCGGCTGGTGAACGGGAGCTCTTCTTCCGCAGCGAACCTCCTCTGGCTGTTGTTTCTCCCCACGCGGCTGCATGGTCCTCAAGGGCCCGGTCCTGCCCCACATTGCCTCTCCTACCAGAGCCCCCCACTCCCAAGAGCCCAGCGGGGAGGGGCTCAGTTACCAAGGAGACTGTGAGCACTTCCCTGGCGTCCACACCATTTTGTGTTTTGTTCTGGTTGTGCTAACGTGGGTGGAGGGAGGCAAACAGGGCTGGTGGAGGGGCCCACCTGCCAAAGGCCTTCCCGATGGCCGAGGGCCGGGCCTCGTAGTAATACTGCTTGTACTCGTCCATCCACACCTCCGCGGTGCGCTTGGTGTTCCTAAAAGGGGAGGAAGGAACAAAACAAAGTCACCAGGGAGGTGACAGAGTGAGGACCGAGACCCGCTCTGTGCCGTGCGGGGTGACACAAAGTAATAGTGATTGGGGTGGGAGAGATGAGTCGGGTCTGTGAACCTCCATCAGCGCATGTCCGCATACCCTTTACAGTCCCCTGGAGGACTCTGTTCTGCCGAAATGCCTGCCTGTGGGCGCAAGGAACGCGTACCAAATACTTGTTTGATAAAACATGGGTGACGACCTGAATGCCCATCCGTAGAACAACGGTTTTTATATGACGCTGCTACGGGATGGAGGGCACGCCCCGGTTAGCAGGTATGGACACAGAAGGACGCCTGTCATTCAGGGTGGAGTGGCAGAAAAGCAGGCTGCCGACAGGACACACAGCGTGACCCCGTTTATAGAAAAACACAAAGTTATGGTGTGTGTGTGTGTGTGTGTGTGTGTATGTGCTTCTCTTTCCGTGAACTGCCTATATGCAAAGGAGTTAAAAGGCCTGAAATGATAGATCAGAAACCTAGTCACAGAAGTTACTTTTGGAGAGACAAGTGGGATAGGAGTCAGATCGGGTAAAAGGAACTTTTGCTTTTTCCTCTCTATATGATAGCAGAGTAAGAACACATATATGTACAGATATGTATGTGTTGTATATTCTGGTACAGCTTGCATTTTTTAGTGAACATGGATTACTTTTATAATTATAGAAACAAAAAATGGGGTTGGGGGAAGCAAATCAAAATAATAAAGCATCTAGTTAGCTAGACTGGGGAGCCACTGTGGCAAGCAAGGAAGCGCAGGCCTGACAAGCGAAAGAACTGTCCTCCCAGGGGAGTCCTCGGGACCCTCTTCCCCTTCCATCCCCACCGGGAACTCGGAGGATGGCTGGACTCTAGGGCCAAGCGCACCCTGTGGCTGGGAACATGGATGGGTAGACGCTGACCAGGTCAGGCTCAGGACATGACACCCATGACCAGAACCTGGGGCCTGGTGATTGGAGGGTGGCCCCCGGTCAGGTGTTGGGCCAGTTCTCCAAGAAGCTCATGGACAAAGAGGGTCAAGACAAGGGAGGCTGGGGCACCTGAGTGGCTCAGTGGGTTAAAGCCTCTGCTTTCAGCTCGGGTCATGGTCTCAGGGTCCTGGGATCGAGCCCCACATTGGACTCTCTGCTCAGTAGGGAGCCTGTTTCCCCCTCTCTCTCTGTCTGCCTCTCTGCCTACTTATGAACTCTCTCTCTGTGTCAAATAAATAAATAAAATCTTAAAAAAAAAAAAAAAAGACAAGGGAGGCCTGGTGGCAACACTCTCAGTTTCATCCTTCCACCCCTCAGGGTACCTGGAATCCCAGAATTGGAAGGAACAAATGGGGAAACTGAGGCCCAGAAAGGGGGAGGGGCAGCTGCCTAAAGCTGCAGGAAAGACCAACAGGGCTGGTGGGGTCTCGGACCGAGGTGGCCTGGCTCCTAGCCTGGCACTTTTTGCACTGTCACCTACCTGATGTAGGTGAGGGCATTGCCCTCAGGGAAGTTGTAGGGGTGTCGTTTCCTGAAGACGTGGCCCACCCGGCTGCAGGGCACGATTTCCAAGCTCCCACCGCACATCCACACCCTGAAGGAGAGCTCTGCAGGAGACAGCAGCCGTCAGGAGGGAAGAGCCCCTGGCAAGTCCCCATGGAGCAAAAGTGGGAAGGAGCTAGCCTCCCGGGTGTCTGCTTGGATGCACAGGTGGGGTTCGGGGTTTCTGGGCCCATCTACATGGGATGTGCCCACCCTTGCACACGTTCCTGACTGCTCAGTCCACGAATGTGCACACCCCCACCCCCCACAACACACATCCCTGTCCACACACCCCAACCCCGTATCTCATCCCACACACACCTTCTCCATATACACCACGTCCATACTCCCTTCATATACAACCCGCCCCACACCCCCCTGCACACACACCCTCTCCACACATCCCACCCCACACACCACACACACACACACACACGTACACATCCTGCCACACACACACCACACATAGCCACCCCCCTCTATATACACACCCTCCACTGCCGACGGTCATACACCCTGCCCGCATCTGAGCCCTGGAAGAGCAGCGGGGAAAGCCCTGCAGCAGCACCAAGACCATGAGGAGAAGAAAAACCGAATCAACGGCAGCATCATTTCCAGCCTCTGCCTGGAAAGCCCCATCCAGACATTGCTAAGGAAGAACACATTTGCTCATCAGTCTGCTCTGGGCATTCACGAGGCTGAAACACCAGCCACCAACCAGGCCAAAGGCCACTCCGGCTGGTGTCTTCCTGGCTCCAGACCTCCCTCTTGGCCCAGGGGGTCTCCATTTACAGGCACCCACTGGTCCCCTTGAGACACGCTTCCTTGTGATAGTGGTGGGGATGCTGAATGAGCTTGTGCAGGACCGCCATTAGGGCTGGGAGATGCAAGTGGCCATTCTGCCTCCTAGAGGAGGCTGTCGCAAACTGCCCGCCCCGCTGTCACTTCTGGCAAGGGCCCACCTGGGCAGCTGGCTGCACCTCCTATAATCTCTTCCGTTTATCCCTTCATATGAACCCTACAGCTGGACAGACACCTCTGACATTAAAACACTCATTCCTATCCCAGAAAATACACAACCCTTGTTTTGTGTTTGTTTTGTTTTTAATTAAAAAAAAAAAAAAAAAAAAAAGAGGGGCGCCTGGGTGGCTCAGTGGGTTAAGCCTCCGCCTTGAGCTCGGGTCATGATCTCAGGGTCCAGGGATTGAGCCCCCCATCAGGCTATCTGCTCAGCAGGGAGCCTGCTTCCCTTCCTCTCTGCCTGCTTCTCTGCCTACTTGTGATCTCTGTCAAATAAATAAATAAAATCTTAAAAAAAAAAACCAAAAAAGTGAAAGAAAGACCATTTACTCATGACTTCTAGCCTTGGTCCCTTTTCCCTCCCCCCAGCTGGCAGTACAGACACTCGTTGTCCCTGGACAGGCCGGGGGGTTCTCACCTGGTGCAACTTGTCAGGGCCCACTGCCTACCCCTCAGCTAACACCCGTCTCTGTCCAGCCTGTGGGCAGAAGAAGCTTCCAGATGTGGGCCAGGGGCCAGGGCTGGACATGTGGTATAGCAAGGATGGTCATGTTGATGGGGTTCCCTAGGGCAGCCTGTAGACTGCCAGGCTTGTGTTCCTTCTCCTGGGAAGAGCTCTGGAGCTGGGTCAGCAAGTGAAATTTAGAACTAGGGATGACCTCGGGGACAGAAGAGCTGCATTCTGGTTCCATTCCTACCAGACTAACTTGGTTATGCTAATAAGTCACTTCATCCTGCCAGCCTGCACTGTCCATGCTGTTATTGTCACCACCCACAACACGTCACCATCACTCATTTACTGAGCCCTTACTATGTGCCATGCTCTAGAACCCAGGTCTAATTCTCACAGCAAGCATGCGAAGCTGGTATTATCACCCTGATGTTTTGTTTGTTTTAATTTCTTAAAAATTTACTTCTTCTGGGGATGCCTGGGTGGCTCAGTTGGTTAAGCAGCTGCCTTCGGCTCAGGTCATGATCCCAGCGTCCTGGGATCGAGTCCCACATCGGGCTCCTTGCTCATCAGGGAGCCTGCTTCTCCCTCTGCCTCTGCCTGCCATTCTGTCTGTCTGTGCTTGCTCTCTCTCCCTCTCTCTCTCTCTGACAAATAAATAAATAAAATCTTTTAAAAAAAAAAAAAAAAAAAAAAATTTACTTCTTCTTTTTAAGGAGGCTCCATGTCTAGCATGGGGCTCGAACTCATGACCCTGAAATTGAGAGTCCCATGCTCTGTGAACTGAGCCATGGGAAGCTCAAACATGTTAACCTCTCCAAGACCACCCAAATACCCTGTTGCAGAATTACAATGTCAAGTTCACATTTTGTCCAGCAAGCTACACTGTTTGAATCAGATCCCTTAGTTCATTCAGCAAAATTTTACTGGGCACCTGTTAATTATGTGTCATACACTGTTCTAGAATCCTTACACATTCATGGGTAGGCGACAAGAAGTCACTAAAATAAGGGACAAAAATGCAAGTAGACAAGAAAACGAGTGAAATGCGGTCTATCCGATGATACTAAGAGCAATGGAGATGGATGAAGCAGGAAGGGCTGAAGAGAGCCCCTGGGGCTGGGGTGGGCTACAGTTTTAATCTGATTGGCAAGTTCTCCATCCAAAGGGGACATCTGACCTAAGACCTGAAGGAGGTGAGGAAGCAAGTCATGTCGCTTTTATGGGAGAAGGATTTCAGGCAGAAGGACCAGCAAGGGCAAAGCTGTGGAGGCTGGAGTAGGCGGCAAGTTCCAGGGCCGCTAGGAGGCCTGGCGGAGGCAGCTCGGGGTGGAGTGAGGCCAGGTGAGAGAGGCAGGAGATGTGGGCAGAGCTGGTGGAGTGCTGTGGGGGAAGGGCAAATGGCATGAAGACTGCGGGCTTTGCTCTCAGAGATGGCACCGAGTCCCTGCAGGGTCTTGAGCTGAGGACCGACATGATCAGACTACCTTTTAAAAGGTCCTCTAACGGGAATCCCAAGGTTTTCACATTTGCCACCTCCACTTGCCTCTGGGGCTCTCTGAGGGGACACAGGAAGGAGTCTCAGTTTGGGCATCTTCCTTCCTTCAACAAAAGAATGAAATGAAAGGCCCAAACCTACCAGCAGCAGAGCCCTCCTGACTCAAAACTGCTCCCAGCAGCTGAACGTGTGAGCACCAAGGCTAGCCTAAAAATTTCTCTGAATTTCTTCTAAGAAAGAAAAACCTTCCCGGAACCACTCTGTGGTTCACCTTTCAAGTTCCCCAACCACTGAGCCCTTGCCTCAGGCTGAATCTGAAGTTAGCCATTTGATCATTTACTTGTTCCTCTGTCAATCACCAGCTGTAAAAAAAAAAAAGAAGAAGAAAGAAAAAGACTCCTGGATGCAGGAGAGACCATTAGTTTCCCAGTCCTCGGTGTCTGTACAGGAAACTCGCTTTGCCGAAGCTCCCTTCAGGCTGAGACTGAGGGCACACGGGAGGTCACTTGGGCCCAGAACATGTGGAAGGAGGTCAGAAGGGAAGGGTCAGTGCACCCTGGTTCCCAGAATTTACTTCTCCAAATGCCTGTATGCAAATGGTTTCCAAGAATAAGTTACAAAGTGGAGAACATTCCATGCCTCTTTCCACTCCAGTTGGTTGTGAGTTAAGATCAGACCTATGATAAACCCCACTGCTGGGGCGCCTGGGCGGCTCAGCCGATGAAGGGGTTAAGCATCTGCTTCAGCTTCAGTCATGGGATTGAGCTCTGTGTTGGGCTCCCTGCTCAGTGGGGAGCCTGCTTCTCCCTGCTTCTCCCTCTGCTCCCCACTTGTGCTCTCTCCCTATCTGTCACTATCCCTGTCTCTCTCAAAAAAATAAATAAAATCTTAATTAAAAAACAACAACAACAACAAAAGCCCCGTGGCTCATCTGTGTCCTGATCAAGGAGATCGTAGAAGGAGCTGCTCCTCGCCTCTCAGAAACACAGAATTTGCTCTGATCACCCTTCACAACACTGAAGTTGGGGGCACTACGCACACCCGTCAGATGTGGAGCTTCCTGACTGAAATCTGGAAGGCAGCATTCACCTCAGTTTTCCCACCTGTCAAATGGGTGAGATACCACTGGCCGTATTTATGTCGCAAGAAACCTGGTGAGGATGAACAAGGAAACAGAGGGCTCTGCGAAGAACAGGAGACCCCTGGGTCACTCCCCATCCTTCACCCCACTCCTTGTCGAGCGGGCTGCACCACTGGCTTCTTTCCTGTGGGCTGGCAGCGTCAGTCAGAGCGTGGACAGGGGAGAGGGAGGGTGGGTGTTTATCTCCCCCGACACCCTCTGCCTGGGCTATGGGCTGGCTGCGGGTGCCCCAAGACCACAGCTCCTGTCAGGGGGCACTCCCTCCCCATCTTCCAGACTGAGGGATGGCCACACCTCACAGCAGTCATTAGCCCAGCCCAGGGCCACACTGTCCCAGAGTTTCCCTATGTCTCACCCACACTGTGTGGACAGTCTCTTTATAAACCCCCTTATAGTACCCAAGTTGGCTGATCCGTTTGTATCAGGCCTTTATCTAACAGAACCTTGCCAGTGACACTGGGAGCTCTCTGGGCTCTTCCCTTTTCTGCTGGAGCTAGAGGGCTCACCTGGCCCCGGAAGTAATGATGATGGCCGCCAGCAGCGTGCCTTGTGTCTTAACCTATCTCCCAGTTGGCACTCATACCAACCTCTTGAGAAAACCGACGCTTCGGGAGGCTTTAACTTGCCCAGGGCCAGAGAGCTTGCAGGTGGGAGGGCCAGGATTTGCACTCAGGCCATCTGGCCCCATCCTTACATTTAACCACCAAACTCGGCTGCACTCCGCACTCCCCACTCCCACTGGCTTTTCTGGAAGAAAAATGAGCTGTGGGTTTAAGCTGCAGCCCCAGTTACAGTCTTTCTGTTCTTCCACACACGTCTAGCTGTGGGACCACAGGCTCCCCCTGACCATCTCGATATTTACGAGCTGTTGGCTCTGGACCACTGCACCAATTACTTAACCTATCTGTGCCTCAGTTTCTTTATCAGTAAAATGGAGACATAATACATACCTCGAGGAGCTGTGAGATTAAACAAATGAATACATGTGTAGAACAGGGCCTTATGCATAGAATGTGTTCGAGCATGGTTATCTGTTATTGTTGTCACTGTTAGTGTTATTTCCAACTTACCAAAATTCTCTCCCCCCCAGATGTCCATCTGGGCATCATACTTTCCCAAGTGGTTAAACCAGGACTTGTCGATCACAAAGATTCCTCCAGCTATAACAGGAGTCCTGGGAGCAAGGAGAGGAAAGAGGCAACACATGAACTGGAGAGGCTGGGAGCCCTTCTAGATGGCCCCAGAACACCAGGTCATTTGCCCTACAATCCCCCACTTGCAGAGTCACAGGGGCAGGACATCCAGCAGCTCCCTGGCCTCTGTCCTTTCTGTCCCTGGGCCTAGAACCGAGTCAGCACTTAGACAGTGTGCCCTCAGGAGCACCAGCAACTGAAATGTGGCCCCCCCCTGCAGATTCCCATGCCCCTGGCCCAGGGAAGGAAGGGGTCTCTGCAGAGCCCACAAGCAGCACTGACCTTATGGGCTTGGTGGGGTCGGTCCGGGCAATCTTCTGCTCAAGAGGGATCTGCTCCCACTTGAAATGCAGGCTCCAGTCAAATCCTAATGGACAGAGAGGGGTGAGGACAGAGCTCAGGGCAGAGCTGCTGTCCCTTCATTCCACCAGCCCTTGGTCTCCCCTGATCAGAGCCCAGCTCGCAGAGGACCCTGGGCAATTCATGCAATCATTCCTTCACTCAGAAGGAGACGGGTCCCTGACCTCATTGATTTACTGGGTAGGACAGAGGCTACAAAAAGAAATCAATAAAGGAATAATCTGCCACAGGTGAAAAGTGCTGAAAAGAAAAGAGAGGTACCCATGCTATTTTAGTAAAGGTAGTCAGGAAACGCTCTCTAAAGAGATCACTTTTGACCTGAAAGTCTGATCCATGCAGGTATCTGGGGAAATGGAATTCCAGGCAGGGGAAACAGCAAGTGCAAAGGCCCTGAGGTGATTTCCCAAAGGAGAAACGCCTGGCTCACTTCAGAACCCCACTCAACTCTAAGATCTAAGTAACAGCTGTTTCCATTTTTTGGAAGTCTGGGCCCCAAATAGGAAAACCACTCTGCCCACTAGCTCCTAGCAACAGATTGTCTAGTGCAGCCTGCCCAATAGAACTTTCTGCAATGATGGAAATGTTCTATATCTGCACTGACTGTCCAATATGGTAGGCACTACCCACATGGGGTTATTGAGCACTTGAAATGTGGCTAGTGCAACTCAGGAAGTGAATTTGAATTTTATTTAATTGTAATTAATTTAAATTTAAATAGCCAAATATGGCTCTTATAGCAGCATGGCTATAAAGTCTAGACCAGAGCTGTCCAAAAGAATGCAAATGATGCAAGCCAGAAATGCAAACTACATATGTAATTGAAATTTTTTAAGGACACCTGGGTGGCTCAGGTTGCTTTCAGCTCAGGTCATGATCCCAGGGTCCTGGGATCGAGTCCCGCATTGGGCTCCCTGCTCAGTGGGAAGCCTGCTTCTCCCTCCCTCTGCCTGCCACTCCCCCTGCTTGTCTTTCTCTCTCTGTCTGTCAAATAAATAAAATAAAATCTTAAAAAAATTTTTTCTAGCAGCCATATAAAAAAGAAAGAACGTATGAAATTAATTTGAACAATATATTTTAATGTAATATATCCAAAAATGTTATCATTCCAACATGTAATCAATATAAAAAACTACTCATGAGATTTTTTACATTCTTTTGTAATAAGACTTTGAAACCTGGTGTGTATTTATACTTACAGCACATCTCAATGCAGACCAGTCACATTTTAAGAGCTCAATAGCCAAATGTAGCTAATAGCTCTTCTATTCGACAGCCTGGGTCCAGACCACCTCCAGGTGTATGTATTGGGAATTCACACAAGACACTGTCCTAGCATGTCCTTCTGCCAGGACTGTAGGCATGGTCCCTGGGCTGGCAGCATTTGGAAAGGATGTGTCAGTGTTTGGGAGGGGAAGACCCAAGACTAGCGTGGTTCTGTCACTTATGGTTCCAGAGGGCTTTGTCCCCAATCCCAGAGCTTTCCACCATCCCTTTCCATTTTCTCGAGGTAAGGGGGTGGTGTGAGACGCTCTGGCACAGCTGGGTAGAAGAGCACCAAACCAAGGCTTTAGATCGCCCCCACCTGCCCCTTTCAAGCCTACAGCCCCTCCTCTGGGAGATGGACCCACCTCCTCGAAGATCTGCAGATGCAGCAAGGTAGGCAAAGTTATCCAGACTGATGACATCAATGATGGGGCTCACCACACGGGTGTGGTCCTAGGGGAGGAATGAGAGATGGTGTGAGGCCAGGGACTCTGTGAAGAAAGGCCCAGCTGCCTGCTCTGAGAAGTTCTCTCCCACCATGGGGCACTCAGCCCTTCCCGCAGGACTGGGCAGGATCTTGGGAGCTGTCCTGCAGCCCCACAGCCAGGCTCCTGGAAGGACCCACTGGGGTCCCATGGGCTCTCCCAGCCTCTTCCTCTCACATCATGCTGAGCCCTGCTGGGATCTCACCTCCTCAGGGAAGCCCTGCTGGATTGCCGCAGGCTGAGGATTTCTTCCTCTTTTAAGCTGCTCTCACAATTACAGACCAGACAATTCCTGGGGCACTGAATCCTATGCTGCCTGAGGTGGCTCTTCTGGTGCTGGTCTGAACTGCTGTTTTATTCATCATTTGTACATGTTTCGGTTGAGTCTTCCCAACTGGACCACCAGCAGCTTGACGGCAGGGACTCCGTGGTCCCTGTGCAACCTGGCTGCCATTCTCTCAAGCCACATCTGCTTCAAGGTCAGAGTCACCACTCCCTTCATCCTCCTAGACACAAATCCACCTCAGGCATTGGGGGGTAATGTCAATTTTATTAAAGATTTGGGACGTGGGGTAGTGGTGTTGGGGGCTTATGACATACACCTCATGCAAAACTATCAACCACCATCAGCCCTCTCTTCCCTCTCCCTCCACAAAGGGACCCAGCCTAGAGGCCCATCTCTCCCCAGACTGTGCTGACCTTCAAAATCCTCTTATCTGCAACATGGAGATCACCCAGCTCTGCCCCTCAGTTCACACACACCCTGTCTCAGGACCACAAAAGGCTGGGAGGAGGCGGAGCAGGGAGACCACCCATGGTTTCCCACAGAGCTCTGTGCGGGCCTTGCCTCTGCCTTTTCATAGACTTTTTTGTTCCAAGGTGTAATTCACATTTTTATAGCAATTTCACTAGCTGTAATTGACATGTGATGAAATTCACCAATATAATGTGTACAAATTCGGTGGCTTACAATATAGTCACAAGATTGTGCACCCATCACACCTAATTCCAGAACATTTTCATCAACCCAACAAGAAACCCTGTACCTGTTGGAGGTCACCTCCCCCCTATCCTCTCTCCCCACAGCCCCTGACAACCACCCATCACCTCTCTATTTCTATGGCTTTGTTTCATTCTGGACATCTCACCTCAGTGGAATCATAGAACACATGGCCTTTTGTGACCATCTTCTTTCACTCAGGGAAGTGTTTTCATCCACATTGTAGCACGTATCACTATTTCATTGCTTTTTATGGCTGAGTAGTAGTCGTGTGGTTATGTCCGCACACATTTGGGCTGTTTCCACATTTTTGGCTCTTCTGAGAGATAGTGCCCTGAACACTCCAGGGTAAGTTTTTGCGTGTGGAGGGTATATTTCCATTTCTCTTGGGGGTGTACCCCACAGTGGAAGGGGCATCAGGTAACTCGGTGTTTAAACTTTTTTTTTTTTTAAGATTTTATTTATTTGACAGATAGAGATCACACGTAGACAGAGAGGCAGGCAGAGAGAGGAGGAAGCAGGCTCCCCGCTGAGCAGAGAGCCCGATGTGGGGCTTGATCCCAGGACCCTGGGATCATGACCTGAGCCGAAGGCAGAGGCTTTAACCCACTGAGCCACCCAGGCGCCCCTCAGTGTTTAAACTTATGATGAGGGGCGCCTGGGTGGCTCAGTGAGTTAAGCCTCTGCCTTTGGCTCAGATCATGATCCCAGGGTCCTGGGATGGAGCCCCGCATCGGGCTCTCGGCTCAGCGGGGAGCCTGCTTCCCCCTCTCTCTGTGTGTGCCTCTCTACCCACTTGTGATCTCTGTCAAATAAATAAATTTTTTTTAAAGATTTTATTTATTTATTTGTCAGAAAGAGAGAGAGAGAGCGAGCACAGGCAGACAGAGTGGCAGGCAGAGGCAGAGGGAGAAGCAGGCTCCCCACAGAACAAGGAGCCCGATGTGGGACTCGATCCCAGGACGCTGGGATCATGACCTGAGCCGAAGGCAGCTGCTTAATCAACTGAGCTACCCAGGCGTCCCCAAATAAATAAATTTTAAAAAATTCTTTAAACTTTTGATGAACTGCCGGGCTGTTTTCTAGTGTGGCTGCCTCAGATTACGTTCTCACTAGTAATGAGTGAAAGGGCTCCCACTTCTTCACATCCTCGACAGCCCTCGTTACTGTCCATCCTTTGGTCACAGCCATCCTATAGGTCTCAAGCGGTATCTGACTGTGGTTTTGACTTGTGTTTCTCTCAAGGCTTAACAATGTTGAGCATCTTTTCCTGTGCTTGTTGGCCATTTGTGTATTTGCCTTGAAGAAATGTCCATTCAAATCCTTTGCCCATTTTTGAGTTTGGTTGTCTTTTTATGGTTGACCTGTGATCACCTCATCCTTCCCTCCACCTGTCTTACCCTCCTCCCCCTTCTAGTGAACTGTTGGCACGTGCTAGGGGGCCCCTGTTCTCATCTCTTCTTGACAACACCATCCCCCCATTTTCCTCCTTCTCAAACTTTCCAGCCTTGACCCCAAGCTGTCCCCTGCCCTAGCATAGAACCCATCTCCTCCAGGAGGAATACCAGCCCAACATTCCTAGTTGGAGCTTTACAGCTCACCCAAGTTCATGTCCACATGAGTTCTCCCAACAACCCAGTGAGACAAATATTACAATTACCCCCATTTTCAGAGGAGAAAGCTCACTAACATGACATCACTCTGGAGGAAGCAGAACATTTAGGCTTCTACTCTGCCTATCTATCAAGTCAATGACTGTTTACATGCCCTCATGCCAAGAACATGGTGGGCATGTCCCAAGGGGCAGATCTCCCCGAGGGACAGAGGGACTTACCTCCTTGACCCGCTGCAGCATGGGCTGCAGCCACTCGGTGTTCACTTCGCAGTGGCTGTCCAGAAAGGTTAGCACGGCAGCTGTGGCCACATCTGCCCCACGAACTCGGGACCGGATCAGCCCTGCCATGGGAGTGGACAGGGGTTGGTATGGGGACAGGGCCAATTTGTCTCCCCACCATCCCTCAAAAGGCTCAGGGCTCTGCACCCATCAGGGGCCAAGGCTTCCTCTGAGTTACTGTGATTGAGCTTTACTTTGTATTTGACTATGTCCTCCATCCCTCTCTTTTCTTGCATCCACTCATCAACCATCATTACTCCAGGCTCATTCTCTGAGTGCCCTTCATTGTGCCAGACCCTTTTCTGGGCTCTGGGGACACACTGGTAAACAGTCAGGCATTAGTGAATGGAAAGTGCAACAGAGGGTATTTTGGTACGCAAAGAAAACCAGAAACCAAAACCCTTTCCTCCCTGCCCCGCCCCCCACCAGGGGATCTCCAGGCCATCCCCTTCAGCCGCATCATCACCTGTGACCCGGTGAGAATCTTCTAGACTAAGGCAGGCTGGAGTCAGTGTGTCAGCCCCTTCACGTACCTTAAGAATGTTCTTTAACTTCTCTGAGCTTGGGTTTTCTTAGCTAAAAGACTCAGAGAAAAAATAACCCCCACCTGCCGGGGAGAGTGTCCTGTGTCTAGAAGGCCTCCGCGGGCTAGATTCCGATCTGTTTCAGCCCCCACCCCAAACAATCTTGCTGATGGCTCACCGACTGTCAAAGAATGGCCTCACTTCTGGCAGCTCCCCGGTCAGGGCTGGGGACTCGACTGCCGGGAAGAGAGGAGGCCCAGCTGGTGCTAAGAGAGCAGCTGCTGGTGCCCCGTGAGCCGTGGAGATGGAGGGGACTCGCTCTAAGAGCTCAGAATACAGTTGCTTCCGGGAGAGAGTTCCCTGGCCGTGCCTCTGCCCTGTACTCCGCCTCCATCCATCTGACTATCCATCCATCTGTGCAAAAATCCATCTGTCCCATCCTTGCACTCCATCAGGCTAGCAAATACTTAAGGTTTGCACCTGTGTTGGTGCAAACCAACTGGAAACCCCTGGAAACACTATATTCCTGGGCCTAAAGGTACCTACAACCCAGTGCTTGGGAGAAATTACTCTCTGGCTTCTTCCATGCCACTGGGAAGGTCTCCTTGGTCTGACTGGTCTTTCTCAATTATGCCCCTTGCATCTCTCTCTCTTACTCTCCCCCCCGCCGACTCTCAAACCTGCAGTGGTTCCCTACTACCTGCCTTATCAAGTCTAAATGCCTGTCTCTGGCTTCCAAGGTCTTCTGCCATCTACCCTCACCTCACCATTTCCCCTGCTGACCAGACCCAGATTCTCCCAGGGAAGAAGGAAGAGAGGGAGGTTAAGTGTAGCCTCCCACCTCCAGGTTGGAATTCTGGCTCCTCTACTCATCACCCTGGGCAGATCATCCTGGGCAGAACCTCCTGAGGTCTCACTTCCCTTCTGTGCAAAAGGGAACAATGGACTGTTAGGAGGAGGGACTGTGAGGATTTAGGCAGAGTGGATGCCTCCTATGGGTGAGCACTCGGGAGGAGGGCTGTTAGTATTACAGGGGCACCTGGGCCTGACCAGAGCTCGTGCCTGCAGAGCCCTCAAGCCTGGACTGCCCTGCCTTGCTCCCTTCACCTGTTCTACCATGCCATCACCCAGTCGAGGCCCTCTCCCCTATCACGCCCCACTCCTGGGGTCTCTGATCTACTGCACATAATCACGACCAACCTGTCCCTGAGGTGGGTCCTGACTCCTTGGCCTTATGATGTGTTCTCCAAGGGCAGGGGCCATGTTTTGTAGTTCTCTTGTGTCTCCTAGAGCACCACATACAACACTAGGCCATGTGGCTAATGCCCCAAAACACCCCTAGATGGGAAGTGAGGCTACATATGCTTTATAATGCCCTCTGGGGACACCTGGGGGCCTCAGCATCTGCCTTCCGCTCAGGTCATGATCCCAGGGTCCTGAGATTGAGCTGCACATCGGGCTCCCTGCTCAGCAGGAAATCTGCTTCTCCCTCTCCCTCCACCCCTGCCCCTGCTTACGCACTCTCCCACTCTCTCTGTCAAATAAATAAATAAGATCTTAAAAAAAAAAATAATGCCCTTTAGTTTTCTCAAAGCATTTCCATATAGTTTACCTCATTTAATCCTTACAACAGCCATGCAAACAGAAAGGGTCTATTATTAACTCCACTTCTCAGAAGAGACAACCCAGGCAGCCAGAAGTACAGCAACTTGCCCACAGTCATGCCATGGCCGGGGCTGACCCGGGCTAGCAGGAGGGTCTTTCCACAGTCCTTGGTCCTGGCCACAAGGAATGCAGAAAGAGCATGCTGGCTTAGTGGGACATGGTGCCAAAAGGGAATGGGGAGGTGCAGAGGTGTAGACCGAAATGGGTCTGCAGTGGCACCCAGGGTCCAAGAACTCACCTTCCCGCCGATCATTGCGCAGGCACTTGACCTTGGGGATCCTGGTCAGGAGCAGACAGTCTTCAGCTGAAGGTGAAGAGAAGGAAGCAAGCTCATTCAGATATGGACGTCAGACCACAAGAGGTTTGGTCGCCCCTGGAACTGCCCAGAAGGTGTCTCACAGTAGGTCCAGGGAAAGGGCTGAAGATGGGGAGGTACGCAGGGGCATGGTCATCTCTATGGCCAAAGGATTGCCCTGTGCCCCACTCCCAGGCCAGACTGAGGATTCCTTATGGCATTGCCCCCAGGGGGCAGCAGAGAGCACCAGCAGGTCAGCAGGGAGCCCAGCCAACACCCCCACCCCCACCCCGCAGCCACACTGAAGGGACAAGCCTCAGCATAAGGCATTTGTAATAACAAAGGATGCTGCTGATGTTGCTTCTGTCTTTAAAAAATGTCATTTCACTAGTGGCAAAACAACCCCACTCTTTCCCCTTCCGTGGCACCTGGGAACAGAGTCAGAGAAGGCACCTAGAAAAGACTAAAGATCCCGGGTAGGGGGCAGAGGTCCGCCTGTGATATCCAGCCCGACCCTGAGAGGGCTGGGCTCCATACTCTGGGCAAATGAGTGTGGAAGGCTGCACATAACAGGAGGTAGAAGCTTACGATCTGAACTGAAGTCATCCACTAAGATGATCTCCTGGATCAGGCTGGCTGGAGTTCGGTTCAGGACGCTGGAGTGATGGGGACAGAGGAGCCTGGATTTAGGGTTCACCTTCCACTTACCTCTCCCTGCCCCAGGGATCCCCCATCACCCAGCTCAGGGACTGGCACACTAGCCACGAGCCAAACTCCCAGGCCCTGGTGAGAGGCTGAGGAGGGGTGTGCCCCTCGGGCTCTTCCGAGGACCTGCTGACCCTGGGATGGGCCAGATGGTTTGTGGGAACGGCCCCAGTCGAGTCGCCAGGACAGGACCTGTAGCTGCTTAATAAGCCCCGGCTAGGGTGGGGAGGGGGAGGGGTTGGCAGCCCCTAGCTGGGCCTGGGACTGCCCACCTGCTTTCCTTCCCATCATCCTTCCTCTTCCTCTTCCTCTACTCACTGGGAAAGGAAACCCAAACTTCTTCAATCCCTGGGACAATCCAAATCCTATTCTCATTAAAGACATGGGGTAAGCAGGGGTTAAACTTGACCACAGGGCCAAGGTAAGGAGGACAGAGACCTCCCTCTGAATCTGTTGACTGGCACCTCCCAGGCTGACATCCATCCTCCTGAGGCCTTCTGTGCCCATCCCTGACTCCCTTGGCTCCCGACCCTTGAGTATCTGCCTTCGTCCTGCAGACCTGACCTTGTCCTTGCGCATTCTAATAATCCCAGCCGGATTTCTAGGGCCTCCCTGACCCTGATTCACCAGCTCCAGCTTCTCAGAAGGACAGGACTCCCACACCCTCTGGCCCGGCGCCCTGTCTCCATGTCCCCGTTCCCCCCGCCCCCCTCCCTGCAGGGGCTTGGCAGAGCTTCCTGAGGCCTCACGAAATGAGGGTCCCCGAGATGGGGCCTACCTCTTCACGGTGCGCAGGAGGGTAGAGCGGGCCTCATTGTGGAATGTGATGATGACGCTGGTGGCCGGCAGGTCCGCAGAGTAGGTTACAGACGGGCAACTGAGAATGGAGCATAGGGGTCAGAGGGCACCGTGAGGGCCTCCTCAGGGCAGGCTTGAGGCTTCTCTCTGTCCAGCCTGCTGCCCCCAGGAATACCTCTGTGGGACAGAGAAGGCAAGCCTGAAGCCAGGCTGTGAGGCTGCCCTTCCCCGCCCACGTTCCCCCCACTCAGCCCATCCAGCCTGGAGTCCTTGGAGGGAAGCCACAGGCCGAGGCAGCTTCCCAGGCCTGGTCATCTTTACCAAAGACCTCGCAGCCCCTGTCAATGAGCTGTTTAGAAGGGCCCTGACCATCATGACTGTGTGGGCACTGCTCCAGGCCTGGGGACGCAGCCCTGGGCCAGCAGCTGGATCTCCCGCCTGCCAGAGAGAGACAAAATGGAGGAGACGGGGGGTGGGGGTGGGGGGACAGCCTTTGCTTTGTGTCTGGCATCCTGTAGCTTCTTTCTCTTCTCCTGGCTCACGACATTTGGAGGATCTGGAGAGGAATCGCCCCTCTCCTATCCTCCCGTGACTCCCTCCCTCTCACTGCCCAGCAGGGACAGCTGGCTGGTGACCCGGGCCAGGGGCGCAGCCTCACCGCTCCGGGGGCCCGGACTCCTGGAGCACACAGAAGCCTCGAGAAGACCCTGAACAGTGCCTGCCAACCCGCTGCCTTCCCCAGCGGCTCTGTGCTCCTCTTCTCTGTCTCACACCACATTTTTAGCTATTGGCTTCCCCCTCCTCAGGAAAGGGAATTAAAACAATCCATCCCTGCCAGCCTCCATCCCTGTCGCTTCCGCGGGTGCTTTTATGCGTGTTCCTGAGGCCGGCGGGAAGGCAGCTGGTTTTCATGACAATCTTCTTTATGACAATTGCTCTCCAACTGCTCCAGCAGGGACGGTGTTTTCATTCTGGCATTCACGCCCCGACAGCAGCTTACAGCTGAATTCCCAGGCCCATCTCTTGCCCGGCAGAGCAGACTGGTTCAGTAAGGCAGGAGTCCCACCAGCCGGGGACCCCCATGGGAGGAATCCTGAGAGGCTTTTAAAAATGTTCTCCCTGAGAGGGGGTGGAGGGAGTAGGGGTGGGTGGAGGGGTAGGGAAATTCACCTCTGCCCCCTGAGAAGCCAGGCTTCCCAAGTGCATCCTCCCAGAGGCATGTAGACTGGGGGTGGGGGGGAGACTGCTGAGATGGGGAGTGCTGGGAGAAGCAGCCACCTCCGGCCTTCCGGGCCCCCCAACACTGACCTCTAGGGACAGTGACTATGAACCCCAACCATCTGGTGCCCAGGAAGGAGAGAATCTGGATAGTGATGCCCATTCTTCACCTGAAAGGGGCCAACCTACCCGTATCCCATCTGGAGAGTTGACTTGACGTCCTCCCTACCGGCCTCCTCCAACTCTCTCCGCTCTACATTTCTCTGGGATTTACAACTGTGATGATGGGAATTTATCCTGGTCCCGGGAGCCAAGAGCATCCGAAGAGGTTTGCCCCAGGCCTGTGTTTCAAGTTTGGGGCTGGTGGGGTTTTTTCTTTGTGATGCAAGAAGGTCTGTCTTGCCTGGTCTCTCTGTTCCCCTTGAGGGGGGCTCCCTAGACTGAGGGCTGGACTAGGAACTAGCCTGACAATTTAGAGACCAGCAGAAGCTGCAGTCTGGAGGGAGAAGAGCAAGGTTCACCCCCAGCACATGAGAGCCCGCACCTCTGTCTGCTGCTCCACCTACATACGCATGCGCGGGCGCACGCACCCCCAACCCACCCCATCCACCTCAGGCTTCTGGGACGGCTGGCAGCCACACGGAAGCAGGAAGGGAGACTGGCCTCAACACCCCTGCTTTGGATTCGAAGAGTCTCATTTTAAAACCCGTGTCACCCCAAGAGGAATTCCTCCTTTAAGTTCTTTAGTGAACACCTGAGAAGGTATGAGGAGGGCTTGGTGGGAGGGAGGGCAGAGGTGATTCAAGCTAACCCTGTATCAGTTCAGAGATTTGGGTCTGTAGAATCTCCAGGCCTTGGGGTCAAGGTTTGCCATGGCCAGGGTTGCCAGGAAAAGTCCTCAAGTAGGGCTGTGTGGACATAGTCTTATAGGCCCCACAGTGCAGGTGGACTTTGCACCAGGACTGACAGAGAAAGAACTGAGATCTGAGCTGGCCATTGGACCTGGGCGGGGGATGCTTTCTGAGTGGCAGGATTATTGTCGTACTTGGTAGCATGAGTTTCTGGAGGCTGGCAGTGCTGAGTATCAGGACAGTTAGGACAGTCTGGGGCTCCCCCAACTCCATGTCCATCTCACCCTGAAGGCTGCCCAGTCCACTGGATTTCAAGCTCCCTTCCAAGGTGCTAGAAGCATGTCCCCTTCTGCACCCTTATCTCTCACACCCCTTTTGTGCTGCGGAGTACGCGCTTCAGAAGGAAAATCAATCTTGACCTGCATCATCCCCACCTACCCTTAGACCAGGACCAGCCTGGTGCTAGGTACACAGCTGAGTCCAACACAGCCCTTGTTGGTCACTCAATACTGCAGGCATGTGGCTGAGTCTGCTTCAACAACCCTGTGTGCACAGAGCATAGAGGAAGCCTCCAAACCAGCCTGGGTTGGCAAGGAAGCTTCCCCAGAGGAGAGGTCACTGAGAAGAATTATGAAAATGCAAGGGCGGGTGGGGATTTGGGCAGGGGAAACTGTGTGCATAGAGATGAGGGGAGGGACAGGAAGGTAGAGGACTGTGGGAGCATCAAGTCCTAGGTGAAAAGGAGCAGTAGCTCAGGCCAGGAGAGGTGGCTTGCGCTTCAGGGTAAGGACCTCAGACTGTTCCCAGAGGTGAGGGTAGGAAGAGGGCACTGGAGATGGTGACTATAATCTAGACAGGACACATCACAGGCCTGAACCAAGGAGGGGGCATGGATGGCTTGCCCAAAGTCGGTCACTCACACCAAGTGGAGTCAGAGTGGGGATCATCATGGAAGGTGTCCTTAGTCCTGCTTTGGGGCCTCTCCCACCTACCACACTGGGAGAACCAAGAGCAAGGCTGGGAAGCGTTTCTGGGAACTGCTGAGGAAATGGAGGCCACAGGGCAAGAAGAGGAGAAGGACAGGGATTCTGATGCCCAGAATCCCTTGCACAGTGTGGGCAGGGTCGGTGGCCCCTCTTCACCTCGGGCACCATCAGTAGGCCCACCCACCAGCTCCGACCTCCCTGTAGTCCCGTGGCAGCTCACGCTCCCTGGGACTCCAGACTGAGGTGCTAAGGGGCCTCACCGGCACCCGCCAAGTCTCCATGGCCATCTCAGGCCCTCCGGAGGTCAATGAAACAGAGGAGGCAAGAGAATAACTGAGGGTGAGGGTTTGAGGGTCTTGACAACCAGACAGAGCCTGAGGAAATCTTTCTCATTTCCTCAGTCCATGTGAGGAACAGAATTGAGCTGACAGGTGCCAGCCCTTCCCTCCAGGGCACAAGAGAGGCTGTACCTGTAATGGCGGGTGTCCCGGATGGCTCGGTCGGGGCTCAGCTTGTCACTCTCCAGCTGGTTGAAGGCATGTTGCCTGTAAGGGTCCTCGCCGGGCTTCAGCTGCTTGGCTGCCAGGTAGGCCTTCTCATCGAAGCCTCTGGAAGGTGTTCCTGTCACCTAAGACAAAGGTCAGCATCAGAGGAGTGACAGGCAGGAGGATAAAGCAGCCACTGTGTGGGGCCAGCAGCGTTACCTCATTTGTACCTTATCCCAACTCTGTGAGCAGGAGATGGTTATTTCCACCCCCCTTGTACAGATAGGGAAACTGAGACTCAAGAAGTTAAAAACAGGGGCGCCTGGGTGGCTCAGTGAGTTAAAGCCTCTGCCTTCGGCTCAGGTCATGATCCCAGGGTCCTGGGATCGAGTCCCACATTGAGCTCTCTGCTCGGCAGGGAGCCTGCTTCCTCCTCTCTCTCTGCCTGCTTCTCTGCCTATTTGTGATCTCTGTCTGTTAAATAAATAAATAAAATCTTAAAAAAAAAAAGAAGTTAAAAACAGTACCCCCACGTGTACAGGGAGCATATGGAAATTCTCTGTATTTCCTGTTCTGTTTTATGCCCCTAAAACTGCTCTAAAAACATTAAGTCTATTTTTTTTTTAAAGCCCAAGGTCAGAGCTAATAAGTCACAAGTTCTGGATTCATACCGGTTGTTCCGACCCTGAAGGTCAGTCTCTTGACCAGTGGTCTTTGTTGGATTTGGAGAAGGTGACCCCAATATGAAGTGTCCTGAGGGGACCACCAGCCAAGCTGCTGGTCGCCAAGCAACATACAGCATCCTAGGGATGAACTTGGGCCTGACACCAGACTGGGCATGCAGTGCGACACCAAGAGTTTAGACTAGCTGCTGTGTTTAGAGTTTAGAGTTTAGAGTTTAGAGTTTAGAGAGCTACCTGTGAGGACACGCAGGCCCCTTGTGGCTCATGCTAGAGCTGTGAGAACACAAATGTGGTCAGTGATGCCTCTTCTCGGGGATGGCGCTTGCTGCTGACCTCGCCCCATGTCAGAGCGGCTGGCCCACTGCTGCTAAGTGCCAGGGAGTGAGGGATGACACTGGCCATGGCCCAGCCCCTCTCCTCTTAGCCACACCCCACTCTGTGCTCCCAAAGTCCCCCCATGAAAGACCCTGAGGAAGGACACATTTGAGATGAATGGAGAGACAGATGGATCTTGACATCTCATTATTTGAACCAAACTGCTGGCTAGATGTTCCCCCAGAGTGCCTCGAAACAGCATCAACGGTGAGCACATCATGACTGCAAACCTTCCACCTGCCCAGCAGCCCAGGCTGGACCTGTGGGCCCCCAGAGACAGTGGAAAGGTGGGTGAGGACTGTTCAGACCCAGAACCCTGCATGAGGACCCCATCACAGGGCTCGCCCCAGAGTGATGGTCCCTGGAAGGCAGCCAGACCTGGGGAAAGGAGACCGAGGTGCTGGGTGATGCTGGGGGACATCCACAGCAGCCCAGGGCCTCCATGAAAGCCTAGCCCCGGACCTCACCAGACCAGAATGCAGAAGGCTCCAGGGAGCGAGTAGCTCCTTCAAGGATGCCTGTCTATCGAGTTCTGGCCTCCAGGGGCACCCTGTGCTAGGAGCCAGCCCCTGAGCTCCTCAGGTCGGAGCTGGTGAGAGGGCTTTCCTTGCGTCCACCAGGCCCAGCCCCATGCTAGACACAGGTGCTCAGGATAGTGATCACCTCTGCGGTGGCCTCGCTGTGACTGATACTCGGAGTTGGTGCCGCGCCAAGGGCTAAACAGATGTGGCACAGCCCCCATGGGCTGGAAATCCATTTCAGGAAAGACAGAAGGAAGGAAGGAAGGAAGGAGGGAGGGAGAAGGAGAGGAAATCTGTTTTGACCTGACCCCTGGATTGCTAGAAGGACCCAAGCTGTCCAACTTTGAGAGTGAGCATGAGAGGTCCTCTGGGTCCTTCCCACCTGGGAGAAGGATGGATGCTAACTCTGCCCCCGCAATTCCTCCCAGCCCAGGTCAGAGAAATGGAAAGCAGCCTTCAGTTGATGTCTGAGGTAAAATAAAAGAAAAACTGCAGAAACTCCCAAACAGAGAATATGCCACTGAATTACCCTGCGAGGCAACTGTGGGAAATAACTGTGCTTGCTTATGTAGGACTTCTGGCCACACTGCGGGCTCAGGAAACCTCTGAGTCCTCATCCCACACTCACCCATCACCCAAGAAACATGGATTGAGAGCTGTGCATCTACCAGGCCTTGGGACACCCCTAGGCAAGTTCCAAGGCCTATCTGATCATTCATTCATTTGTTTAAATATGCTTGAATTCAGGGCGCCTGGATGGCTCAGTGGGTTAAGCGTCTGCCTTTGGCTCAGGTCATGATCTCAGGGTCCTGGGATCGAGCCCAGCATCAGGCTCTCTGCTCAGCAGGGAGCCTGCTTCTCCCTCTCTCTCCACCTGCCTCTCTGCCTACTTGTGATCTCTGTCTGTCAAATAAGTAAATAAAATCTTAAAAAAAAAAAAAAAGAATGCTTGAATTCATTCCCACCCCAGCCTGCTGCCTTCCTGAGCCTCAAGGCCTCAGGCGAAGCTTCCTCAGGGTGGTAGAGAATATTGTGGAAGACAGAGGGCTGGGCCAAGGTGCACCAGAGAATTTCCCTCCGGAGCCTCCAGACTGTGCTAGACATCCTCAAAGACGCTGTTCAGAAGCATCTTCTGCTCCCTTCTGCAGACCCATAGCCTGGGTGACGCTCCAATGGTCCTCCAAGGTCAGACACTTCACCTATGAGCCACCTTCTTCACGTGTGAAGAAGGGTACTGGGGAGACACAGTCCCTTCCCCCTCCCAGAGGTCTTAGCCTTGCTTTCACATTGACCCACATCTCTGGGGCCCACAGCCAGCCCCGAGTCAGCCAAGTACAGGGGACACAGAGGAAGGACTGTAACTTCCTGTCTCCCTGGAGCCTCCCTGGCCTCTCCCTGAACAGACCCAGAGCTCTTCTACCTGTTCACACGCCTACACTGCAGCTCATTTCCTCCCAGCTCTTGAACGCTCCTTCCCCTTTGGCCCTGTTCTTTGATCTTGAGACTTTCAGGACTTTGACTCTCCTCTGGGTTCTGCAAACTCAACATCTCAAAACAAATTCGGCACTGAAGACCAAGGCTGCTGCTTCTCCTGCATTGCCTGTTGCAGAGGTGGGCAGTCCCAGACTCCTGGTCCTCCCAGGAACACACGCAGGGGTCGCCTGTGACGTCCTCCCTGATGCTCCATAGCCGGACCGAGACCACTGCCTTGCGTATCCACAGTGGTGTCCTATGGGCTCACCACTGGTGCTGAGTCAACAAATATTTCCTCCAAGTCTAGTGTGTGCGGACACCGTGCAAGAGGCTGGGAAGATGGAAATAAACAAAAGCCCTACAGACCCCAGAAATCTGGGAACCTAGATCACCCCTCACAGCTCCCCTGTCCCATGCTGGACATGGCCACGCAAGATCAGGAAGAAACCCTCACCCTCAGCCTCAGATCATGGGTAGCTGGAGAGTGGCCGTGGAAGCCGGTCCCACCCGAACTCTAGCTGGAACAGGAGTCCAGAGATGGGGCACGTGCCACAGACTGGGGACCAGGGAATGTTATTCCCCTTCTCCCCAGTTTTCCCACTCATACTGCTTACTAAGCACGCTGGCTAGGGGTCAATGCATCTTTTGGTTCTAGGCTGCGGGACCATGAGGAGCTATATAGGGATCAGCCTGGGAGACCCAAGATCCTGGGCTTGGAGCCAGGTGGAGTCACTCTATGGGACTTGTCCTGCTGCCCTTTCTGGAGGGGATGAGGGCGCTTGGAGCTGCTTGTGGAATTCACAGACATCTGTGCTTTTCTGCTCTTTCTTGTTTACTAGATGGTAAAAAAGAGCTCCCAGTACCCAGCATACAGTAGGTACTGAACGGATGTTTGCAGAATAAAGGAATGAATGAGAGAATGAATGAATACCTAAATAATGTCCCTGCTCTCAACTTACCTATAATCAACAGGGGAGAAAACCACAGTGAACAAAAAGGAATCCTCTGACAGGTCACATGATCTTCAGGGGCTTCCCCTCTCCCTCTCCCTCCGCACAGGCCCCGGCAGAGCTCGTGGTGGCCCAGGACACTATGAGCAAGGGCCCAGTTCCCTCAGGGGCTCAGGTTCTGGTGTTGTTCCCTCCCTGGCTCTGGTCTGGCCACACCAGCCTCCTTATGCTCCTTGAGCCTGCTGGCCCCCTTCCCCTCAACCCTTCTGTTCCTTCTCCTTTCTGGAAGGCTCTTCCAGATGTCTGCACGGCTCCCTCCTTCACCCCACTGCAAGGCTCTGCTCAAACCTCCCTTCTCCTGTGAGCCTTCCCTAACCGCCCCCCTACCTGTAACACTATGACCCCAGCCCCACATTCCCTATCCTACTGCCTTGTTCTCAATTTCCTTCTAGCACTTACTGTCATCTGATGTTCTAGGTATATTTTGCTTAGTTATTTTATCTTTCTGACTGCTTCTCCCCACAAGAATATGAGAGTCGCCAGGGCAGGGATCATCTGTTTTATTTAATGCTGGATCCCAAAACCTGGAACAGTGCCTGTTGGTAGAATTCAAAATCAATGGTTAATGAATATGTGAACAATGAACGGTCATGACCCTACTCGTCCCTTCCCCTCCCTTGCATGTGCACTTGGCTAACACATTCCTTGGAATGGATGTGGACCAAGTTGGTGGCAGGGTAGTTTCTGCTTGCCTTGGGGATCTCCTTCCCACTCATGTCTCCTGGCAGGACTGTTAATCACTGTCCTCCTGTCCCATCTGGATCACCACAACCACGGTGGGCACAAGGCCCAGGCTAGGCTGATCTCTTACAGAGTCTGGTGAAGCAATCGTCATTTGACTCAACCTGGGCCAATCAGAATCCACGCTGAGACTGAGCTATAAGATGAGCTCATTTTGTCATCACTGCTAAACATGGAAGGCAAGTCCTCTTACATATTACATAGAGAAATTTTGTCTGGAGAATGAAGCCAAGAAGAAACAATCAGAGCCAAGAGACAGAAAGAAAGAGCTATAGTGATATTACTTGGGGTTCCCTGGGGCTATTATATCTGATCCCAGCTCATCTTGGGGTTTTGTGGG